AAAGAAACATATAGAATTTTCTTTTGCAATGTTGAGAGGGACACCTTATTGAATGTGTCCAAACAAAGATAATATGTATCTAGAAAGTGAATTCTGAGCCTGGCGTTGGTGGCACACGCCTTTAATCCCAGCACTCGGGCGGCAGAGGCAGGCGGATCTCTGTGAGTTCGAGACCAGCCCGGTCTAACAGAGCTAGTTCCATGGCAGCCTCCAAAGCCACAGAGAAACCCTGTCTCAAAACAAAACAAAACAAAACAAAACAAAACAAAACAAAAAAGACAAAAAAAAAACAAAAATAAAAAAAGAAAGTGAATTCTGTTAATTCTTTTCCAGCAATCATTCCGTCCAAGATTCCTTGGTGTGGCTGAGCAGTTGCACAATGAAGGTTTCAAGGTATACTCTCTTAATTTTTTTTAAATAGCTTTCTTTTAGAATTGAAAATTATTCATGAAATAAATACTGCACAAACAGGAAACCTGCCCTTTCACTTTGGAATGATTAACTCAATCATTTCACAACTTTGGGGGAGGAGGGTGTCCTTTTCTTTAGTGTTGTAACACTGTTAAGTTGTCCTGTCTAAAGAAAATAGCCTTCTACACACCCTAATTCTTTTACAAAAGCAAAGAAACTTTAAATTCTGTGGGTCACACACTGAAGAAGACCCCCAAATAGGAGGAAATTTGTTGAGAAGATTTCTAGTGGAAAAAAGAAGAGTCAGAGAGAGAGAGAGGAATGGGAGTGAAAAGAGTTCAAACTGATTATATAAACACTTGAAACTTACAAACAATAAACATTAGAAAAATAAACTTTACATAGGATAAAATAATTAGGAAGACTAGGTTTGACAGAATGACTACAAACTGAAGAGTAGTTAGCTTAAAATCTTGGAAACTTTAGTTGAAGCATAATTAGGACCCTCACCAGTGTATTTCTGAATCTTTTCCTCCTCGTGATTCTGTCTGAAGTCATAGTTTCCAGCTGTTACTGTTACAGGCAGTGTCTTTGTAGCAAATTGCTCTGCACACAGCCTGGTTCAGTAAAACCAAGTTACTCCCACAGTTCAATTGGATCTTCCTGGACCTCATAAAAATAATTTATAAGCTATGACTAATTCTTTTACAAAAGCAGTTACAACGTAGGCTCTTAAATGTTTCCTCACTGAAAAGATTTGAAAATATTTAAGGTATCACTGCCTGGGATTTTGAGTTCAAGTGGCCACCCTCAGCACCAGGTTTCTTCCATGTTTTTTTTCTTTCTTTCCATTGTGATTCATGTGTTTCTTAATTAACAATGCCTCCTCCTTTATAGTAACCAAGTTTTCTATTTTAAATGCAGCTTTTTGCCACAGAAGCCACATCAGACTGGCTCAATGCCAACAATGTCCCTGCCACCCCAGTGGCATGGCCATCCCAGGAAGGACAGAATCCCAGCCTCTCTTCAATCAGAAAGTAAGAACTGAATAGTCTGTTTTCTGATTGGAGAAAAAAGAAAACATTAAAAGAAAAGCAGGATATACATGGTGGGAACTAGTACAGTATGAAGCTCTCACCTCATTTCCTTTCAAAAGTTTGTTTGGTTAACAAATTTACAAATGAACACATTTATGGGTGATAGCTTCATTCTTATAAAAAGTGAATTACTACATGTGTGCACCTGTATATGTGTTGGAAAACACCCTTTAGATACTTCTGTTAAAAGTGCTTGACAGATACAAGTAAAACTATGAAGAATTTAATGCAGTGCTTTCTATATAATGTTATATATATGTATATATATACACTAAAGTATGTATATGCACATATATAATTAATCATTTACATTTCACTGAGGATGGATCAATGGATCAGTCAATTTATTGAGCACTTGCTGCATGGTGAAAATTGGAGCAAGCATTTTGACAATGTTTTTAACTAAATGGTTGTTTCTTAGGACATTGCCTCCTGATCTTGTAAGACACATTGTTTTAGGAACTGCAGGGCATCTGTTGTTACAAAGCTACATGGGAAGAAGGCACAGTGGATCCTTCTCTGCTACTCTTGAATGTTACAATTTACCCATTAGCTCATACATCCCTATTCTATGCAGTATGCTATTTATTAAAGGTTGTTAAGAAATCATTATGAAACAAATGAAAGAAAATCATCATGTTCGGATCTTGGAAGCCTTCCACTGATGCCATGAATCCCTCGCTTTAGAGTTTTGTAAAATGAAAACCGGCCCCGACTTTATGCTTTTGGCATTTGAGGGTCTGTTTGTGTGTGTTCAGTCAACCCAACGACAGGTGTGATACAGGTTGACTCACAACCACGTAGTCTCATGTTTCTCCTGCCAGGCAAGAGAAGGGAGGTGGGCAGAGACAGATGCAGCATGTGGGGAGGCGCCTGGAGGTGGAAGCACTTTCAGTGCTGGAAGGATCACCTCTTTATAAAACAAAGTAGGTGTCTATCAAATTGTCAGGTCTGGCTATGTTGGGTAGTATTTTCAAGGGAAAACAGTGTTTTGCATTCTGGTAGACTCTTACCAGAGTTTTTTCCAAACCATAATAAAAAATTGTAACTCCCCAGTGAATGCAACTTGAACATTGGCTTACACGTAGAAAAGAGCGGCAGGTGGCTCAGTAAATAGCATTGACTTAAATGGCAGAGCAAGGAATTTGTGTTAGGACTTTTGAACTAGTTATGAAATGGACTTCGTCAACTCTGTTTTTATTTATTTATTTTTTAGATTGATTAGAGATGGAAGCATTGACCTCGTGATTAACCTCCCCAACAACAACACCAAATTCGTCCATGATAATTACGTGATTCGGAGGACAGCTGTGGACAGTGGGATTGCTCTCCTCACTAATTTCCAGGTATGTTTTTCCCTTTAAATATAAGCCATGTGTAGGTTTTAGTTCTGGGTCTCCCTTCATGTGTGTTCATCACTCCCTGCATCTCTGTTTCTCTCTGTTTCTGTCTCTTTCTTTCATTGAGCATTCAAAACAGAGAGGAATTCTTAATAGAATCTTAAACAATGGTGTCAATATGGTAGATTGTAGTCTCACCTGAAGAGAGTTGGAGATTAAACAATTAATATGATCAAAAGCCAGGGATAGACTAGTTCCTTTGTGACCCATTCAATCAACCTTTGGGTACAAAGACATAGTATACAATGGAATGAAGACTGAGAGTTCTGTCTCCTTGTCTCCAAGTGACATCCACTGCATGAAAGCAATAGCTTATTGACCAAAGGTGCAGCTGTAACTCACATAACTCACATGCTGGACCACAATACACACACACACAACAACCCCCCCCACACACACACCCACACACACACACACACACACACACAGAAGGAGCCATATATCTGACATTCACTAATGATCTGTGTGTCCTATTTTTTCCCCCTTAAGTTAGTTTGATTCCTTATTGGGGGTGAGATAAGTTTATTCTTGATGAGTCAGAGACATGGGGAAGTCTCTGAGAAAAAGGCTACATCTTTTCATTCCATACCTTGTTGAAAATCGGGAGCAGATCCTTGTGACTTTTCACTCCTGATTCATCCTGCATTCACTTTCATCTCTTGTAGGTTGCTAACATTCTTGATATTTTCTTACAGGTGACCAAACTTTTTGCTGAAGCTGTGCAGAAATCTCGCACTGTGGACTCCAAGAGTTTGTTCCACTACAGGCAGTACAGTGCTGGCAAGGCAGCATAAAGCAGAAAATGTCCAGTGAATTCATCCTTGAGTCAGTATGAGTCACACCGCTCCAAAAGGACCATTCCCAGCCTATCTCCAGAAATGGATGTTGTTGCCAAACTCTATTTTGGGTTCCTCTGTTCCTAATAGTTTGTTTCTTTAGCCATTAAGTTGTTGTCAGTCACTGTTTCAAAACTACCAAGTTCTCCCCAATTCACTTGTTCTTCACAAGGAATTCAACCATTTACACCTTTTTTTTTGTGGACTTGCTCTTAACATTTCATGGTGCTGATTAATAGTGATCAAAGTAGGAAAAGTTGTCCTATCTCCTGTACTCCATACTCTAAACATACTCTTGTTTTTAAAGTCATGTCTGCCACACCCAGAATCTACCACAACAGGGTAGATTACCATGAAAATCTGTTAAAATGAAATATGGATTTAATTTATGAAAGGCATCATGTTTGTGTAGTGTTTCTTTTTTGACAATGATTCTCATGTATTTAGCCAATCTAGGAATATCATTTTTTTCTTCCCACAATACACAGTGTGAGACTGGATTTCTTTGGTGGATACTTGCTTGAAGTTTTTGAAGGATGTCAGCAGTTGGCAGAGAACACAGAGGTGGTGATATTCTTGCTGAATTTTAATACAAGCAAAGTGAAATGTCCAGAGTCATGACATTCACCCAGTGGTAAAATTTTGAAACATGTTGGGAGTCACTGTTCTTTTTGTATGATGGATTTTGGTGATCCTCTGAGTCTTTCCTGCATTCTGTCCTCCACACATATTAAACATATGGCCCTTTGTATCATGGAGTCTGGTGATCATCTGAGTCTCCCCTGAATTCTGTATTCCACACATACTAAACATAGGACTCCCCCCATTCCTTTACATACAAGATTTTTTCTTTCAAGGTAGCCTTTGTTGCCTTTAAGTGTTTTGGTTATTACAATGCTTTAATGGTGAACTTTTAAATAAAATACTATTAAATGAAAATGCTGTTGAATCCTTTTTATTTAACAAAATAAAATAAGATAAATTAAAACAAAATTATCACACTGAAGCTGGACAAAGCAAACACATCGAAGGAAAAGAGCCCCGAATTAAGGCACAAGAATCAGTGATCCACTCATTCAGATGTTTGGGAATCCAATGAAAATACTAAACTGAAAGCCATAATTGTAGGGGAAGCTGTGGCCACGCCTACTTAGGGGATGGCTACAGGTGTGCCTGACCACGCTTGCCAGGGTGTGGTCAGGGTGACGTAGAATGACTGTGTTTTCTCTTTCGGTTTCACTTTGGTACTTGCTGGACAGACTGCTGCCACGCCGGTTGGCTAGGTCGCTCTGTAAGTAAGGCTTTTCCCTATTAAATACACTTGTATTTCTACCTGACTCCATATTGGTAATTTCCCACTATACATAATAAATGCAGAGGACCTAGTGTAGACCCAAGAAGGCCCTGTGCTTGCTGATTCAGATGCTGTGAGTTTCTGTGAGCCTTGCTCAGTTGATTTAGAGCACCTTGTTCTCCTGGTGTTATTCATCCCCCATGGCTCTTACACACTTTTCACCTCCTCTTTCATGGGGTTTCTAAGCCCTGAGGGGAGGGATTTCATGGAGACATTCTATTTAGAGCTGTGCATTCCAAGGCCCATCTGTCTGTCTGTCTCCTCTCTCTGTGTGTGTCTGTCCTCTCTCTCTCTCTCTCTCTCTCTCTCTCTCTCTCTCTCTGTGTGTGTGTGTGTGTGTGTGTGTGTGTGTGTGTATAATGTCTGGCTGCAAATCTCTGTATTGCTGTTTGCTGCAGGAGAAGGCTTCTGTAAAGATGGCTGACCCTGACCAAGCCAGATATTGGTGGTGCACGCCTTTAATCCCAGCACTTGGGAGGCAGAGACAGGCGGGTCTGTGAGTTTGAGGCCAGCCTGGTCTCCAGAGTGAGTGCCAGGATAGGCTCCAAAGCTACACAGAGAAACTCTGTCTCGAAAAACCAAAAAAAAAAAAAATAAAAAAATAAAAGATGGCTGACCAAACAACTTATCTATGAGTATAGCAGAATGTAATTAGGAGTCATTTTATTATTATTATTTTTAGATGATTAATATTTGGCTTTACCCTCACTCTCTGGGCTATTCAGTTTTTGGTTCTTGGTCACCCAAGCAGTATTGGATATGGGTTCCATCTCATAGATTGGGCCCCAAGTCAAATCAGACATTTAAGATAAAAAGGTGTGTGGTTGGGTTGATTTATATGTTTTTTTTTTTCTTTTTGGTAGCCTGAAGATTACCTTCCCTTATCAATGGACAATAGAACATAGGGATAAAGGTTCTATGCAAATACAGCTTGGCCCCTCCATATTCAATAAGTTGTATGTTTGTTGTCTTCAACAATTGAGGCTTACATTCAGTTTGTGGAGAGTAAAGCATTGTCTTGGCAACAGCCTGAGTTGTTTGCAGATTTCCATGAGACCCATTTGGCCAACAATTCATTCAAATGTAACCCACTGGAGACTTCATTTGGTGACAAAAGCTGGCCAGCTGGGACACTGCTTCCCCATTATTTGGAGGCTTCATTAGGATTTACTTCATATATTTTAGGAAGTTTCCACTGTAGTAGGTATACATACTACCCTTCAAATGCTCCTTAATTCTAGCTATTTCTCTACATATTTCCTACCCTTCCCCAGCTCACCCTCCAAATCCATAGTCTCTCACCAGTCCATCCATAAAATCTATACTATTTCTCCACCCCAGGGAGATCCTAGTGCCTTCCCCTATACCTAACCTTTCGGGGCCTATTTATTAACATAGGCATACAAAAATCCTTATTTCTCTGATAAAAATTGTTTGGGGCCAGGATACCATTGCTTATTTTTTCTTGTAAAACTTCATATAGGCTATAAACAAATTAATGCTAAAATAATCTATAGTTATCACCATCACCCTTCCCTACTATCCATTTCTTGCTTGAGGTAGCAATATGAAATTCATAGTTTGCTTTTGTGGTTATATGTACTTTTGGTTTGAAACCTTTCAAAACATATGGCTGTAATCTGATACTAAATATTGCCACAAATATATAATGATGTCCAGTAGTGTTTGGTAGAACACAGAGTCTCACACTTAGCAAGTGCTCTACCACTAAGTTACATCATGGACCTATGATAAGCTATAAAAATATCTTGTATAACACAGAGAATAGTAACTGAATACAGAGACCAACCAACATTACCTGATGAAGATTGTACCAGTGGGCACATGATGTTCAAACCCAGTCCCACACCTAAAATACAACTTTGTAAAGGCTCTGAGATAATGATACCATGACAAGTTTATAATTTTTCTTTTACCCTAGAGTAAATTGATTACTGTTTTATATAGATCTACATGAGAGTGTCTTTGTGGTGATATATTGTTTATGACATAATAAAGCTTGCTTGGAGATCAGAGGCCAGGCAGTAGTGGTACACACCTTTAATCTCAGGACTCAGGAGACAGAGGCAGATGGATCTCTGTGAGTTTAAGGCAACCCAGGGCTATATGAAAGCAAATCAGTCTAAAAGAGAAACAGAGATCTTTGATCCCAGTACTTGGGATGACACGTCTTTAATCCCAGCACCAGAAAGGTATACAAGATAGCAGCTCAGGGTATCATTCAGGTATTAGGCCTTCAATCTTAGGCATTCTGTCTCTTGTCACACTGAGGTTTCACGGAGCCAGGATTGCCCCAGCCTAGGTAGAGGTACGTGCTAGTGGCTGGCTGCTTTGCTTTTCTGATCTTCAGCTTGAACTCCAATATCTGTCTCTGGGTTTTTATTATTTGGGCTACAGTGTTTTACATTTATTTTTTCTTGTCCCTGAAACTTTGGATGAGGCCTTCATACTTTATTTTTGTGATCTCGTAACTACGCAACCCAACCACTCAATCATTTGCCTGAAAATACTTAATGAGGCTACAGAATATTTTGTGTAGGATACTTGCTCTCCTGTAGCCACATATTCTAGTACTTTCTTATTAATCAACTTCTTTTTACTAATTAAAACCCACCACTGTAATATGAACTATGTAGAGTTCCTACTATCTCTAAAATAGTTCTAAATAGCTCCCATAAATTAACTGATTAATTCTCATAACCTGTGAATAATACCTGTAGACATTAGATATGTAGAAGTCAAGTGGCATGCTTGTCACCTAAGTCATAATAGCAAGATAAGAAATATATATATTTCATATAAGGACATGTGAACACACACACACACACACACACACACACACACACACACACACACAGAGAGAGAGAGAGAGAGAGAGAGAGAGAGAGAGAGAGAGAGACAGTGTAAATAATGCACTGAAAAGGTGTGGTACCTGGTGAACAAAGAGCTACAACTGAGTAGACTGCAAATCCTGAACTGGATACTATTTTTTTTTTTCATTTGCTCTACCTGTGCATTACCAAGCTCTCTTCAAACAGTAGATGCTTACTGTGTGCCAGGCACTGGATTTGCCCAGCATACACTATAATGAAGAAGATTGGCATGACTCTCGATCTCGTTGAGATCTAGTCTTTTCGGAAATCAAATACAACTTGCAATAAAGAAAATTAACAGAATTAAATTTGAAAGACATACTCAAAAGCATCAGACTGGGCTTTTGTAGCTCCTTTTGTATTGGTGGGATAAACAATGAATTTCTAAAGTAGGGACACTTAAATTTGAACCTGGCATAAGGCACCAATGTTGAACATGGGAAGATGCATGAGTAAGGAAAGAGGAACTAGATTACTAACTCTACAAGGAGGAAAAGATATGCATGGTGGAAAGTGAGAGAAAGAAAAGAACACACTATAAGATTGTTGTACCTACTCGAATATCAGATGAGGATCTGTTAGACAAGTCCACATGCCCTAACTTTTGTACTTGTTTTGTGAATAATGATAGTTAATGTTTCTTATACAAATAAAATTATAAGGTACAATTTGAAAAAAAGAAATACATATTTAATATAATATATTATTCATTGTATATAACATGTTAATAGTATATATCATATATATATATATATATGTTTGTCTTATTGGTTGATAAATAAAGCACTGTTGGCCAATAGGAAAGCAAGATAGGTGGGGCTAGGAGTCAAGGAGGATTCTGGGAAATGTAGTAAAGACAGGAGTCCCTCGAAGAGAGGACTCATGCCGCCAGCATCCTTGGTAAGATAAGTCTTTATAAAATATATAGATTAATGGTTATGGTTGATAATTAAGACTGAGCTAGCAAATGAGAAATCCTAGTCATTGGCCAGCAGCATTACAACTAACATAAGACTCTGTGTGTTGTTTGGGGGCCCTAGCATGATGGCGGAGCTCAGGCGGCTGGTGGAAAGTGTTATCATTACAAATTTACATATATAATATATATTTTCTCACAGTGAAATAATATTTGCCTGTAGTGATCAGGAATGGACATTTGGGTATGTGACTTAAGACATTGTCCTAAACAATAATGGTTTTCCATTTCATATTAACTTGAAGTCATTTGTAAAATACAATTAAATGAGAAAAGTAATAACAATGAACCAAATTGTGAATGAGATCTGTTTTCACACCTTCTCCATGGTGCTATATTAATTTTTGTTTTTGTTGTCTTTCTTAGTTTTTTTATAAGACTTCAGTGCAAACATATATTGCATTTACAACTTTTAGCTGGAAGAGAGGACTGAAAGGAAGTGGAGACTCTTGTGTTCAGATTTAGTAAGGCTTTGTCCTGTTGTAGAGATTGATTTTTTTCCCTATAAACAAGTCTCTCAGTTTGCTATATTATACAAGTGCAGTCAACACTGTGACAACATTCATAGTACTGAGCAGTAGACTAAAGTGCTATTTCCATATTAAGAGTGTAATAGCTTCCAAAGGGGATGGACTCTACTGTGTGGGGAGGAAGGGAGTACAGCCAGCTTTTGAGTTGAAGAGGGATAAAGAGTGGTCCATTTATAGATCTGGAATTTTAAAGCTTTGGAAAGGGAAGAAGAATATTTTAAAAGTACTTCTGTGAAACTTTCCTGTTAGGCAGCATTCCTGATGGAAACTTTTTTAAAAACAGCTCCAGCACTCATTTGTCTCAACAGCTGCAGGTACTTGAACCTCGGCTTCTACAGTGTCCACGGCCTCTCGAACAATGAAAGTGGAAATTATCAGAGAAACAAACCATGTCTGAATGAAGTTAAGTGCTGCGTAATTACACACCAGCGTTACCATTTGGCTGCTGGTTCGGCCCCCTGCAGGCACACGTGCTGTACATGCTCTCACACACCCAATCAAATCCACAAAGACCATTCATTACATATTGTTCAAGGCACCCTTAGCTTGAAAAAGACTAGCTCAACTTTATTCCTCGATTCTTTCTATTACTGTTTCTATTCCCTTTGTTCTTATATATGTTTAACAGTTCTATTTTTCCAAAGGACTGTCACTATGCTGTTCTATCAGAAGTGTGGCGATTGGAGAGTGTAAAGTTAATATGGCAGGAGGGGGAATGTCTGCCCTTCTAAGTGGCTCCCTGGATTCCTTGAAAAATTGGTAATAATTGTCTCTCCATCTTCTCTTGTGCATAATGGAGAGTGTAAAGGCTCCAGAAAAAACTTAAGTACCTACAGCTGTTGAGATCAAGACAGCCATATGAAAAAAAAAAAAAAAAACTCAGTGAGTCTAAATTAGTACCATTTATGCTTGCTTTTTATTGAGTAAAGACCATATTTATGTCTTTACAACATTTGTTTTGTAAAGGATTTATATCCACATAGAAAATGATCAATCCCTCAACAAGATGAAACAAACAAATCAGGATTTTCTTGCAATAGTAAAGGTTCATTTTTCTAGAAACTTCCAGCTTAGCAAATTGTTTCTTTTTATGGTTTACTCTAGCATAAACCTACAAGCCACAAGGAGGAGCTTTTGCTCACCGAAGGATGTAGAGATCCATCTTGCTGAGCAGTCATAGATGCTTATGTCTCCTAAAGACACTTTCCCATACATAGCTTACTGCCACTTGGCAGTTGTAATTAAAATAGGATATCTTCAACTTTCAGGAAGAGGAGAAAATCCAAGTTTAAACTGTGTTATTGAAGGAAAGAATGAAAGAATTAACTTGAAATTTTGATTTGGTTTTGTTATTAAAGGATATATTGTAATATCTAGTGCACAGTATTTTTTCCTTTTTGACAGTTAAAGATGTACAGACATCTATTTTCATTTTCTTAATTTTTTGTGTCTGTTTCTCTCTCTCTCTCTCTTTCTATCCCTCCCTCCCTCCCTCTCTCTCTCTCTGTCTCTCTCTTTCTCTCTCTGTCTCTCTCTGTCTCTCTCTCTCTCTCTCTCTCGTGTGTGTGTGTGTGTGTGTGTGTGTGTGTGTGTGTGCATGTGTGCCTGCACCACATGAGTGTAGTTTCCCACACAGGCTAGAAAGGGGGTGTTGGAGACTATGGAGTTGAAATTACAGATGGTTGTAAGCCAGTCCATGTAGATGCTAGGTGCTGACTATTGGTCCTGTGGAAGAACAACAGGAATTCTTAAGCACTGAGGTATCTCTCTAGCTTACACACACCAAGAAATCCCACTATCAATCTCCCCGTGCCCATTCTTTCTCTACAATACCCCCAAATCCAAAGGATGCCAGGATTTTTATGCCTTAAGTTTAACAGGAAAATTCTAATTGAGTATTTTCCATAAGTCCTTGTAAATTTCTTCATAGAATATTGCAAAAGAAATTTATATAAAACAATTTGAAAGGGAAGAGTTACTTAATCTTTCTTCCAGTGAGTTTGCATATGGATTCTTTCAAAAATGTTCTCTAATTATGGAGATATAGTGCTACATTGTCACATTATTCTCCTGTTTGTTATATTTTGTTTTCTATTCCCAAATGAAACTATCTAAGGAGTTTCAAGGGAAAAGTTATTTCTCTGCAAAACATGAGCGAGTAGGAGTTAATAGAGTTTTTAAAAACCATGAGGTTTAAGTGTTTCCTATAAAGTAAGCTCAACTTTTATTTACTGGATTAGAATGAAATAAACACTTCTAACTTGACTCTCTCAGCATCAGGGAAGCCTTCTGAGCAATCATATTGTGTTCAATCTTTTATTACCTGCCTCAGGCCCTGTGCAAATACTGTTAGTTTCAGAGGTCCTTCACTAATCCAAATGCCTGGATCTGTTGAAATTTGGATCTGTAGGGCCCCAGGGACTTCATGAAAACAGACACTCTCCTCTCGAATAGTCCCTGGTTTACCATATTGTGTTTTGCTATATTAAGCACTGGAAAGCTGGTTGAAATTCGACATTCTTAGACATAAATGGAAGCTGAAGTCCTTTAATGACTATAATCTTGGTAGCAGTGTTAATGTTACAGGTTTACTTTTAATCTGTGGTGATTTTTTTTTTTTGATCCAGTAAGATGAGTCTCATAAGTGATTTTAGATCATTCTAACAACCCCTTTCTTCAACTATTAGCTGAGAAATCAGACAAGAAGCTCTCATAATTGTTGAGGTCTAGGGGTATATTTATTTTATTGTCTGTAATATTTTTGATAACAATACTTGTGTTGAGATGTGTCTGATCATCAAAATTAAATTTATCTCCTTTTTTTTAGTTACTAGATCTTGTCATCTCTTTGGGGATAGGAACATGAACCAAGGTGGCTTCTTCTGAGCTTGGCATCTCAACCTGGTTCTTCATGTATTCAAGAAGTTAGGATTGTTTGTTGGCTCTTGTAAAGAAAAAAATCAACATAGTTTTTCCAAAATCTTCAACCTACTTATTGTTCAAAGGCACCTGGATCAACATGATATCTTAGATTCTATTATTGTTGCTGTAAATTAATGAATGCTATTGTCTGTCTCAATGCCAACAGCATTAATCAATGTGCTGACAGACCTCTTAAAAGGCATGAATACTTTCATTTAGTCTTTCTCTGTTATGATAAATCTTTCCACCAAAGCTGCCCGAGCCCTACCGCCACGTGGGTGGTCTCTGCCAGCCGCCTGAGTTCTGCCTGCCGCGTGGATGGACAAAATAATACAGAGACATATTAGGTACAAAGCTGCTTGGCCAACGACTAGGATTCTCATCTGCTAGCTCAGTCTTAATTACCATAAATCTATATACTTTATAAGACTTATCTTATAGATGATGCCTTCTGCTGGCACCCTCTCTTGCCGGTGGATCACATTGCACCACTGAGGATGAGCAGAGGGGAAAAAGGACACTTCCTGTTTCTCCTTGCTTAAATATGAGTCTCCTTGCTATGTCACTTCCTGACTGGATCACCACTTCTCTACTACATTTCCCAGAATCCTCTTTGATTCCTAGACCTGTCTAACTTGCTGTCTCATTGGCCAAACAGTATTTTATCATCCAGTAAGACAAACACAGAGAAGCACTTCCCCCATCATTTCTCCACTGTTATTCACCAACAACCACTGTATATCCTTTATATCCTTTTAATATTTTTAGGTTTCCCATAATATATCCTTTCCTAAGTCTTTTTTTTTTTTTTTTTTTTGTACAGGACTATCATCTGACCTGAACTACTACCATCTTCAGGAGTCCATCTGTGTCACGGGCCATGAAGATACAGTAGGTGTTAAATAGTGCTAACTCTTAATAGCTTGCCTTTTTGTCTTACTCAGACAAATTGCACTCAATTAGCTCACTTTCACCTCAGAACAAGTTCAAACTAAAGACATTTTGTAAATAGATCGTAAGTTTAAAAACTTACAGCTATGTACAATGTCAGAGCCATAGATATCCAACCATTCTTTACTTGCCAGTCTACTAACAATAGATCTGTGTCTTAAAGTCGTCATTGGCCACTGTGCCCTCCTTGTCTGGTCATGGTTTTGCTCCTATAGTCTTGGACTCTTGTGTTGCCATGGTAAACGGCTTAACTCCTTATCACTTCAAGGCTCCCAAAGGAGAAGAGGTTAGAAGAAGGACAGAGGTTAGAAAATAGAAGAAGCTTAGAGAGGTTAGAAGTAAGACAGGATTATTAGAGTAGAAACATAACAATAAAGAGCACAAGAAATAAAGAGCATGATGTTCCGATTATGTGTGAAGTTACTATAGAAATCTTTTACCCACCTCTTTCACTCCTGAGAAGCATTTCACCTTTGGAGCCCTGGGTAGGGGCTGGAGCAGGTCCCTTAGACCTTACACACCTAAGCCATTTTAGCAATACCATCACAGCGGGGATTTTTGGCTGCTGCTGTTGTCTTTACAAAGAAGGAGAAAAAAGGTCACAAGAGTTTTGCTGAGTATCTAGTCCACCATCCCAGCCAGCTGTTAGCAGTTCTTCCCTAATTGTACTTGGCCTCAGGGTCTCTTGGAAAAGCTAGAGGATATAGTTTGGGAAGTATCAGGGGAGAAGTCTATAGATTGAAGTTTCTGTCCCACCCAGTCCCTCAGACATTTAGTCCCAAATAAACACACAGATGCTTATATTAATTATAAACTGTTTGTCCAATGGCTTAGGCTTCTTATTGGCTAGATATCTCTTCACAAGGTCTTGGCTTATCAATGATGCCCAGACCTCTTGCACCCTCAGCAGCTGCATGGTTTCTCTCTGGTGACTCACTCTCTCTGTGTTCCTCTTCTCAGAATTCTCCTAGTCTGGTGGCCTCACCTATACTTCCTGCCTGGCTACATCCTGCTTATCTATTGGCCAAAACAACTTTATTCATCAATCAATAAGAGAAACATATATTCACAGCATACAGAAGGACATCCTTCATTAGAAGTCAATCTACATGGCACTAGGGGAGTGTCTTAGTTATTTTTTTATTGTTGTGATCAAACATCATGACCAACACAATTTAAGGAAAACATGTAATGTTAGCTTATGGGTTTTAGTTGGTTTGAGTTCATGATGTCAGAGCAAAGATCAGCTGAGAGCTCACATATTAATCTACAAACAAAAGGTGTGAACACACAGACACATAAACACACACACACCATACGGTGGAGAGAGACTGAAGTCCTGAGGTGAATTTGAGCTGTTGATATGCGCATGGCTGTGTCAAGTACTCAATAGCCTCAGACCCATGGGAAAATGGCAAAACATTCTATTCTAGTCCTTGTGTGTACAGAAAATGCTCACTATAGCTTTCTGACTGAGATGTTTACAACCTGAAGACTGCTACACTACAGAGATTGCTTCTATTTACATCAGCTAAATGGTCTTCTTGATGCAGGTGTATACTATAAACCCTGCCTTCATGTTTATCTGTATGTAATGATTCTGTACCCTTGTTCAGCTGTATGAAAAACTCCTGCCTTTCTGTCGAACTCTTTCTAATAACTATAACAAGCTTTGGGTGTTTGTGTGTCTCTTGGTCTATCTGTTTTCATTCCATGACTTCCCCATTTAGGTCCAAGTCCCTGAGGCCAAGCAAACACTTTAAAGAGAACAATATGCGTGAAGACCCAGAGAAGGCAGAAGCATGCTGTATTTGAAGAACTAAAGAGTGCTGAGGATAACTGGAACATGGAACTCAGAGGGTGGATGGAAATACTAGGAAAAATAGGGCTATCTCACAAGGGTCTTGTAAGCTGTGCTGAGAATTCAACATTTTGCTAAGGGCAAGAAGAAGCTATTGGAGTATTTAAGTTAGAAAGGAACATAATTACTTTTGAATTTTTTGAACACTCAGTTTCATTATGGAAAAGAAAATGAATGAATCAGAATTGGAGACAGATAGATGAGGTAGCAGAAGCAGGAGGAGAGTTGGAGATTTCTTGAAATACAATAGGAGCAAGAAACAAATTTTAAAGTGATCTTTGGAGAAAGAAATGCCATGTAGTGTTTGGGTGAGAGAGATGGTGCTTGAGAGACTTTACTTATTTGTTTTTTTGGTTTTTTTTTTTTTTTGCTCCTACAAGGCTGGAAGTTAGCATTATCTAAAAGTGACTTTGTAGATTTGTAAGTACCTAACATCTTGATGTAGAGATTATTTTCCTGGCTGTGAATCTAGGCTCTGATGCTTGTCCAGGGCTTGATCTTCAGCAGGCTTTTCTCATTTCTATCTCAGTTTTCCTTACATCATTGGGACAATGGCTCCTAATCAGAAGTTTATTGTGATGGTAGGTTGAGAGATTATTAATGATGAACTTGGAATCATGCTGAGTGCAGAGAAGGCTGTGATACATGTTAGCCATTATGATTATTGTTATTACTCTATAGTGCATCTACAGTGGTTCTCAACCTTCTAATGCTGTGACTATTTAATATAGTTCCACAGCCATGAGGCTCTATTCATTGCTCTTCATAACTGTCAATTTGCTACTGTTATGAGTTGTAATGTAAATATCCGTGTTTACTGATGATTGTAGCTGAACACTGTGAAAGGGTTGTTCAATCTTCCCAAGTGGTCATGACCACAGGTTCTAGACAAAGATGACAATCTGGCTTCTGCATATTTAGAGTAGAACGGGGTAGGTTATCAATAAATGTGTACCAAATTCAGTGCCTATTGTATAGTGGAAATAAATGATTCCTAAAAGGAGGGTTCCTTATAGTTATTGCTGATACCTTATCATTTTAAAAGTAAAATTCAATGTTAAAATATTTCAAGATCCCTGAATGGAAAAGTATTTTATGACATAAAAATGTAAATTATTATTCTTCAACAAGTTTGTAATGAAACATTTCAATAATATATTAGATTAGTTGGAGATTTGATATTTTATAAGATCAGGTTAAATATCTTTGGTACATCAATTAGAGATCATACAGTTTTATTGAGCAAAATCATGAATTTACAATGGTTCACTTATTTAGTATAAGTGTGGATTTCTTGACTGGCAACTTGGTAAGACAATTTCTGTGCTTCTGAAGAATCTATTGTACTTCTTCACAGGATGGTGCTGTGAGTTTTCTGTGTCATGCAGTTATTTTCATTGGAAATTTTTCATGTAGCAGACAGAGGTGGTCCCAAAGGGAAATGCAGATTTTCTTTTATGAGGAGGTGTGGGTAGGGTAGTTCACTGCATTTGGCAGTCAAGTACTTCTGCTGTGAATTGGCTGCTGAAGCTTAAAGGATAAGAGATAGTGAACATGATCTGAGCACTTTATCCTATGCTATGCTTACATTTTGGTTATGTAATCTTATTTGAATTCATACAGCATCTCTATTCTATACAGATGTGAAGTCAAGGCTTAGGGAAGTAAAGGGGCTGCCTGAAGCCATACAGAATATCAGGGAAGAATGCAGAGAAGTGATGAATTTTGTGGGGAGATACAGTGGCACAGAAAAGAGTAAGCCAGAGCAACTGACAGATCAAAGCAGTAGAGAAAGAGGTTGTGGGCAAAGACATGAAGGAAGAGATGGCTAAATAGTGAGCTCTGTGTCATAGTCAGTTCACAGACTTTGGTAACTTGTGAAGATGCTGAAGAAGGAGTGATACACAGAAACCATGGTGAGTGAAGTTCTTTCATGGTACACAGAAGGTGCAGAGTGCTGCTAGACCCATAGGCTGCAAAGGTCCACGCTTGAACTTACTTGAGCCATATTCTTATGGTTCAAGTATGGCAGACATCAGACAGCCACACTGACTTCAGTGGATTCCATGGAAGTGATGTTTGGCTGTGGGTATGAAGAACTCACTTCTTTATGGCCTGGGAATTTGGGGTTGTGTGAAGACAGAATCAGAACACAAGGCCTGATTTCCTTGTGGCAGAGTCACATGATGCCTGATTGTTTTCACCACCATAAAACAACTACCCCAGACCTTAGTGGCTAGAATACCATGTTACTATACTGTATAACTCCAAAGCTCAGTATTTTGGACCAGACTTGTCTGCATGTTCTTCTATTTGACATTGACAGAGGTCATTTTGTGGTACTAAAATGGTCAGTTGACTGATCTTGAAGATTCAAAGGTAAGGCTGACAATATAGCTCAGGCGGTATAATTCTGATTTAGAACAGAAAGCCCTAGATTTTATACCCACACAGTAAATGAGGCTTGGTGGTACACTTTTGTAATTCTAGCACTATGGAGGTAGATGAAGGATTAGGCTTTCAAAGCTCATTCTTGGTTACATGGTGAGTTCAAAGCTAGTTGAACTATAAAGTGGCTGTCTCAAAAATGAAACAAAACAAACGACAATCAGAAAACCCAACAAAATAAAAAACCTAAAACAAAACACCCCCCAATATCCAAGATAGCTTTCATTCATATGTATAGTTCCTTGGAAGGGATGGCTAGAAGTAAGAGCTCAACCAGGGGTTTAGTTAGAATGCCTTCAGTTGAAGTCTCCAATAAGTCAAGTTCTGGGACAAGTCATGACAATTGGCTTCTCCCAGAGTGAGCATTTCAAGACACCCCAGTGGAAACAGCAGTTTCTTGGGATTTGCCTTAGGACTCTCAGGACATGGCTTCTTTGTATTCCACAGATTAAGCACATAAACTACTAAGGACAATTCAGATTTAAGGAGGGAGGAAGGAATTAAGCTCCTTCCTTCAATATGTGAGGCTCAGCCAAGGATTTACAGATATCTTTAATTAATCACACAGCTGACTTCAGTTATATAGCCCATAAGCAATTTATATTGCTTCCTTGCAGAAGTTCTTGTTCAGTTACCATTCAGATATAAACATCATTCTTAGTGCAAATCTCACCATCAAGGAGAAAACAGCATCTTCTCTTTTAGGATACACCCAACTTCTCAACAACACAAAGTAGTATTTTTCTGTCAAAGGCTAGGCAATACTTTCAAGTTGATTGGGGTCAAGAACTGTGATGATAGTAATTTTGACAGACTCAAAAGCTAAACAGAATTATTTCAGGCAACACATATCTGGATGAACCCTCAAAGAGAGACAGGCAGGAATTTCTGACTATACCACTAGAACAGTGAAACCATCTACAAGAACAGCTGTAACAAATATTTTAGACATTCCCTTCCTAAGAGACATCTATAAATTGTGTTCATACATCTAAGAATTTTGTATCAATACCATTGCTCTGCAACAGTAAGAACATGCAAGTTTTAAAGAAATGAGAGCCTGTGTTATAAGTATATATTCTTTTACTTTTTACTTAAGTGAGAATGCTAATGGTTAAAATCCAGGATTACTGAGGTTAAAATCTGTTGTCAACTGTGACTTGCTGCTACATAATGTTTGTCAAGTTATATAAAGTCCTGGCAGTTTCCCAGTAGTCAGCCAATAAGGAACAACAGCTAGTTTATAGAAGTATAGTTCAGGTAAATAAGATAATCCATGGAGATTCTCACAGAATTGTACATGCATGTAGCAAAAACTTGATAAACATTCTTAAATGCCCTTTAAAATTCCTGATTCATAGGGACAGCTTAGTCCTTTGTAAGTACAATGATCATCAGGTCCACTGGCCCCTTGTTAATACACACTAAAGGGATTAAACAACAATGGACTCACTATAGGATCTGATAAAATCAGAATGAACTTTGAAGTGTTTGCCCTGACTGTGTTCTCAAGACACAGAGATACCCAAAAATCAATGTAGAAGTAGATACCCAATTGCCCAAACATGAGAAGGAAGTACTTATGACAAATAGCAGGGCTAGAAGTTCTCTGAATGTTGAGAATGCCAATTTATATAAAAACCATCCATAAGTTGAGACCTTAAATTATTTTCTAAAACATGGGCACTAAACTGAGGTCAGTAGAGCATTTTGTCTGCCACCACAAAGCAATGCTGTATTAAACCTATTTAACCAAAGATAGAATGATTTTTAAGAAATTAGCTGTTGGAAAAATAGCTTCAACAGATTTAACTCACTAGCTATGATAAAGGCAAAGCCTATTAACAATAATTGGTGAGTTCTTAGAAACTAAGAACCCATAATTAAATTTTATTGTCTTGTGAGTGATTTGGATTAATTATATCCATAATAGGCACACAGTCACCCCCTCCCACTTTAGAGTTGGGGGTGGCTGCTTCTTCATAGAATCTAGGCATTTCCTGCAACCCTTGAGCATTCTGTGTACTGCCAAGGCAAATCTGCTACAAAGCCCGTTTCCTCTTAGGATTTACTGAAAAGTGACAGGTGTTGATTTGCTGGTATCTTTCTCAACAGATCCGAATGAGCTAAACAAAATGACTTCTCTACCCATTTAGGCAGAAAAATAAATGGGGACACCAGCTAATGAGTGAATGTAGAGTTAGCTGGACTCAAAGCCTTCCAAGCTGTTGGCAGCTGGAATCAAAAGAGGAATCATGCAGACAGTTGCTCATGTTTATTGCTGAACATGAAATTAGAAAGATGCTTCATCTTCTCCACAGGTGCAAGAGCATATAGTTATTAATTGCAGCAAAACACGCTTATTGACAACCCCAAGCCTGCAAAATCCCACACTCAGCAAATGGCTTTCAAAGTTCATCCAAAAAACACTTCAGAATCAATACAAAAGCATCGCACAGTTGATGAATGTGTGCCCAGCAGAATTGTGCATCCTGGAAGCACAGCATAGACTGTCTCTCGATATTTATATAGTCGAGTACCGTGGATGCTTTCTTTGTTCTTTTGGGGAGGGGGCACCAATTATATAAAACATTCTTCAACTTTCCACTGTGGGTAGGTAAACTCTAAACTATGGGGAGGGTTGAACCTATTTTGTTTGTCTTCAGGTTTTAAAAACAGTTTTACCTTTTCATTGAGTCTTAAGCCATGTAAGATCATGTGTTCATCTCATAAATTTAGCAAATGTCTATTAGGCACATTATTTAGGCAAATTACTGGACAAATTCTATTCTTAATACTAGAATTCTTAATACTAGAATTCTTAATACTAGAATTCTTAATAATAAGAATTCTATTCTTAATACTAGACTACTAGAATATATAAATACACACTTAGGGCTTAAATTCTTATTGAAATGATGTTATGAACTAATTGTGACATATCATCAGAGAGTATTTCATTAAGTTCTGAATTATAACCAAAGGACATTAAGAGCCACCTTGGTTTGAAGGGGATAAACACTTGAAGGAATTGCAAAGAGGGGCTTCTGAGCTATGATTCCCATGTTATTAAATGAATATACATAGTTTATTTAGTTGTTGTTTTTCTAACTTATTTCAGATAGGATTTGAGATAGTATAAAATAGCAAGATCAAAATAAAACAATCAGACAGGCAAATAAATGTTATAAGTAACTCAAGGGGTGACTACAAAACTGAATGTTTCTGCTGCTTGAAACTAGGTCTTTAACTTGATCCTGTCTCTTGGATCCTGTCTCTCTAATCAGGAGTAGAAGTACAATTAGGGCAAGAGACATATGATTCCAGATGAACCACAGGAGTTTCAGTCATTCTTGTGAGTAAATACAAAAGATGAGTATCTCCAGGAAATATTTTAGGTATGGTGGGAATAATATTTAATTATTGAATGTATTTATATAATATTTTATACTATATAGATTTACAGTTGCTTGTTTTGCAACTCAGATCATTAGCTTCATGTATTTATAT